TCATTTTTTGTTGTTTTGTTTTTGTCTTTTTTGAGACAGGGTCTTCCTGTAGCCCCAGCTGGCCTGGAACTCACTATGTAGACCAGGCTGGCTTCGAACTCACAAAGATTCGTCTGAGTCTGCCTCCCAAGTACTGGGATTAAACACATCCACCACCATGCCACGCTGGGTCATCACTTTTTAACCTGCCTTCGTACACCAACTGAAACACTGGATCTTCTTAGGACTCAGGCCTGTTGGGTAGTGGAGGGAATTCTACCGCTCTCCTGCTTTTCAGGCCTTCAGACTCAGAAAACCTTTTTTCAATTCTATGGGTCTCCATAATCCCATAAACCAATTCCTTATACTAAATATCTCCCTTTGTGTCTGTCTACACAGCATTTCACTCCTTCTGTCATTGTTTTGTTTCTCTGGAGAACTCAGATCACTACTGTCTGTTTATTTTATACTGTTTTAAAAATAACAGCTTTGGTGGTGGCATCAAGTGTGGGACCCATGTCAACTCAACTAAACAAAGGCCCAAAGGGGAGGTGAGAAATAGGTGGTGAGCTGACACTAGACTGAGAACTATTGGAGACTGATTGCTGCTGGGTGAAGGAGAGTATGACTTACACACGACCACCGGATGGCTAACTAGACTCCAGTGGGTGCATTTACACTGAAGGATATTTGGGTACAAACATCTGAATGAATAGGAGTTAGCATGTATGGCAGAGTGCATGGGGTTTGGTGGGAGGATGGGGGAGGGTGTCTGGATTTGATTGGGAACTGTTGCATGAAATTTAAAAAACTCAATTATATATATATATATATATATATAACATCTTTGCGGGCTGGAGAGAAGGCTTGGTGGTTAAAAGCACTGGCTGCTCTTGCAGAGGACCTGGGTTCAGTTCCCAGAAGCCACATGGCAGCTAACAACCACTGCTAACTCCAGTTCCAGGGAATCTGACATCCTCTTCTGGCCTCCCCAGGCTTTGCACAACATGGGTGCACTTAATACATGCAGGCAAAACACTCACATACATAAAAAATAAAATAACAGCTTTATTGAGATATAATTAACATACCCTACAATGCATCCACTTACCGTTTTTAAGCACACTGAGAGTTGTGAAACCGCAACAATTTTAGAACTATTTTATTCTTCTAAAAAGAAACCAGCCTGGACTACACAGAGAGATCCTGTCTCAAATATCCAGCTCCCCCTAATACTTCCTCCATGAAAAGGAAAAGAAATAGTGCCCTATACCCATTAGTAGTCGCTTTCTTCTCTAGCCTCCTCCCAGCACTTGGGAACTGCTAATCTACTTTCTACCTATTCTGAACATTTCACACAAAATCATACAATCCATTTTCTTTTAGGACTGGCACATTTTACTTAACGTATTTTCAAGGCCCACCCATATTGTACTACATATCAGTACTTTATTTTTTTATTGCTGAAGAAATACTCCATCGTATAGCTACAACACATTTTACCTACCTACTCATCAACTTGATGGGTTGTTTCTACATTTTATTATGAACATTTGTACACACGTTTTTGTGTAGACATGTCTTCATTAGAGAATAATTAAGTAATGGAATATTATTGTAGAGCAACCATGGGTGCTATTAGTGGTAAAGTATGGCTAGGTTTAGGATCCTGAAATTGAGCCTTATAAAATTGCATTTGCTAGGTGTTAAGAGTTTGACAAACAAAGGTCAACGCCAGGCAAAAGCATCTTCAGCTTGGATTTAGTACCCAGCATTAGGTTTAAGCCTAAGTATATACCTCAGTCCTCCCTTCCACTGGGCCACACTCATTTAGCCTTGCCAGAGGCTTTCAGTGAAGGGTGATCTATTGTTGATCTTATTGCATGAATCAGTGGTGTCTCCTCAAAGCCAAGTCTGAAAAAAAGGAACTATTCCTTATGCTACAAATGCTGAAAGAGAATTCTGCTTACAAAGCCAGAGCTTTATTTCTCAGGATTCACATTCTACTCCTTTGTACTGTAGCCTTAGATCCCTTACCATGCCCTATTCCAAATCCTCAGTACTACATCAAAGGGTGGAATGTAAGACTCATAGGACTTGCCTTCCCTTTTTCTTTTCCCTGCCATATCCCTAAGTCTTCTGCTTGAGAGACTAGGATACTTATATGACTGATGGAAAGACTGTCTTGAGGCTTTCCTGCTCCCAAACTTGCTTCCTTGAGGCTACTCTGTGAAATTGGTCTTGGCTCCTGGTAAGTTGTTTTGCCAGTATCTTCTTACAGTGGGGAACCTGGGTCCTGAATCCAAACCAAAGACGAGGATACTAATGCTCCCAGAACTACAACTGGCCTTTTTGCAAAGGTTAAAGTAGGTTTAAACTCTTCCATTCTCACCACCTCAAATGAAATGAACATTCTAGTCATAGTCTAGTAATTTCTAGATGATGAAACTAATGTTAAATATACTCCAATAGCTTCCCAAAGTGCCCTGCCTCAACACTGAATATACTGCTTAAGTACTTAAGTATTTATCTCTTCAAACAGATTCTAAAATCTTTGAGGCTAGAAATAGGTCCTAATTACCATTGTACTTCCAGAGCCTAGCATTTAGGTATTTAATGGATATTGGTTGAATGAAAGCCTGTATCAGGCCAACTCCTGCTAGCTCAAGAAGAAAACACCCCCAACCCAAACAAACAAACAATCCTAGCCAAGTCCAAGACTCGTATTAGGTTATAAAGAGTTCACCTTCAATTTTTGTTCTCTGCATTGATCGGTTAGCTCTATGCTCAAGTAGTAAGTGAAGTCTTTGGTTCAGCAGGTACTTAGTTCTAATTGGGCCTGAGGGTCTTAGCTTGATTTACGTGCCTATCCCTGACCTCAGTCTGGTCCACTTGGCCAGGCAGGTTACAGGCTAACCCTTGAAAACGGATGAGGGAATCAACTCCTTGGAGTACAGGAGACTGAGATGTGTGCATAAGCATGCTCTTACATAGAAAGTTGGGAAACACAGACACTGGACAGCCAAAGCAATTCTATTTTCACTTCCATTGCTGAGTTCCATGTTTCCTTCCATGAGGTTAGACCTCTGTGGGGCATGGATACTGGTCTACACTGGACCTGGTCAGTGACTGACAGGTCTTCTTGAGGTCAAGGCCACACTTCCTGTGTGGATTGTTCCTCAGACTCTGTCTACCCAGTGTACATTTTGGTTCTGCTTGTGCTTTTCCTGCTCTAAATGTTTCCAGTAAGCTTCACAGTGCCTGCAATGTCCTTTCAGATGCTTTGGCAACTAGCGAGTCATGTATACAAAGACCTATTCAAAGCAAAGTGTGGTCAGTCTCTAAGAGAGTACTGAAAAGATGCTGGCCAAGCAGAGATAAAGGCCTACAGCATCTGGCTTGGAGCATGAGAACAGACAAACGATCCAGGGACTATCAAGCACTCAGGACAAACTTACATCTAGGATGAATATGCCCCTATTACCAGGGATGAAAGAGCAGCAGCTACATGCCTCAGTGCCTACCATGTTCATTGTGTCTTTACAATATCCTATGTATGCAAAATTATTTCCCCTATTTTAGAGATGAGGTTCAATAATTTGCTCAAGGTAAGGAAGCAGACTACAACTGAGCTTCTATCATGGACAATGTTAAAGGTCAGGTAGTGTTTACAATCCTTTAAACAAATTTAATGGCATGGAAAAAAGGGAATAATGGAGTAGGAAGGGTTAAATGGGGGGGATGGGAGGGCAGAGGAGGGAGTATGGGGAGGGACAACTAACACTAAATAGCCTTTAGAGAAAGCCATATGAAAGCCTACCACAATTTATAATTCTTTGAGCGGTTGTCTCATCTCTCCCCATGGACTCAAATTTTCTGAAAGTAGAACTATATCTAGTCCACGTCTGTGCTTTAGAACATCTACAGTTAAACAGAAGCTAAATATATATCCTCTCCAAATAGACTATCCCCACAGTAAACAAATGTTGGAATGAGCACTGCTGCACAAACTGTCTTCCATCCAAGTTAGATCATTAGACATGATCTAAACCTGGGTAGACATAAACCGGGTAAGGGGGGCTTTAACTTCTGATTGTGTCTCTGGGCAGGTGACCTAATGGCGCTAGGCTAGATTTTTTCCCGGGGTGAAAGGGGAACCATGCTTTAGAAGGAAATATTGGAAATAAAATTACAATCAAAGACATACAAAATTCTCACACTATTTAGGAGGAAAGGTAAAACAATCAGCCAAGGCATTTTTCTTAGTTTCACCATAATTTCAGAAATATGAATACTTTCAGGAAATATTCATTAGGTGCCAAACATCCTAGACATTATGAAATTACGATGTAATTAGGAAAAGGATATAATGGACAAAGTGATAAACAAGGAGAATATTTAATAGAACAGCGAAAAGGTGGAAAACAGCTTGTCTGGATGGATACACATGTATGGCTATATATAAAATGAGACCCCAAAGGAATTCGTAATGGGCTCATCAGGAGTATTGTCAACACTGAAACAACAGTTGTCAGAAAAGGCCTGGCTCTGGCTCTGAACTCCACTGGAAGAGTTTGCCATCTTTGTGACGGGGAGGAGGGGGCAGTTACAGCTTCTCTGAGCCAATATTTTTCTCTCAAAATGGAGATTATAACCTACTTCAAAGAGCTGTTGTGAAGATTAAGTAAAATCATGCGTGTAAGCCTGGCTATGCACCCTAAATCCACTGTTACTCTATTATCTCTGCGGGGGGGAAAAGGTCTTTTCTGGCCCCTTTTCTGTAAAGGAAAGCAATTGTTTCTCCGGCCAGACTCCACTCACGAGGTCCCGGCCAAGGAGAAAAGTGCTTTAAATTGCCGGGAGACGGGCACAGCAGGAGTCGACTGCAGCCATTCCCGGCTCTATCCCCTTCCAAGCCCTCCCTGCCCTTTGGGGACAGCCCAGCTCCCCCTCGCGTCCTGCCTCCAAGGCTCCGTTCAGGCCGCGCTTCCAGTCCTCCGGCCGTGCACGCGCGGCGGCGATGCGGTGAGGGCTCGCGGCCGCCTTCCACACTCCGTCCTCCCGCAGGCTCCCGCCGGCCGTAGCCGTCTCCCGCCGAGATTGGCGCGCGGGCGGGGGGCAGAGGCGCGGTGAGTGCGCGCCTCTACGGAGCATTACGGCACCCTCGTTCCCGGCTCCGGCCGCCAGCCCAGCCTCGCCGCCTAGCCTCGCGGGTCGGGAGCCGGGACTGGCGAGCCGCGACGGAGGGAGGGAGCGAGAGCAGTAGCGAGAGGAGCAGGCCGCGCGGGCCCGCGCCCAGCCCGGCGCCGCCACAGCCATGGCCGAGCGCCGCGCCTTCGCTCAGAAGATAAGCAGGTACGCCGCAGTCCGCCGCCACGCGGGGTCGGGACACAGTCCCTGCCGGTCGGGCCTGGGCGGCGGGTGGGTGTGGCGCCGGGACGCGCAGGCCTCGCGCCGCCCTCCATCCCGGCCTGCTTGGGCCCGCGGCGCCCAGGCCCTCCTCGGTGTTCCGCAGCTCCGCGGCCGGGGCCAGGAGGCGCGGGGAAGCCCGCCTTCTGACGCCCGCTTCCCACGTTCTTTGTGTCCGCATCCCGTCCGCCTGCGGCGCTCCACGCCCACGCCCTGGGCTTGTTGTACCCCAACAAAAGGAGCCCGGCGGGAGGGCGGGGGCGCGGACAGGGAATGAGGCCGCATCCGCGGCCGGTCATGCCGGCTCCGACCGCCTCACCTGACAGGACCCCTGGGCGCCCGGCCCTATTCCGAGTGGCTGCTGCGCCCGCGGCCCCAGACTCAGGCCACAATGAAAAGTTGCGGGTTGCAGCCTCGGGGTGCGGTTGCGGAAGCTGGGGCCACCTCAGTCCTTCTGTGGGCTTGGTGGTCGCCCTTTCTGTCTCCCAAAGGAAGGTGGATGACGGGCACTGTGCTCTATGTATAGCTGGCGTTCACATCCTAGGAGTCGAATTCTGCAAAGGCTTGAGGTTGAGGTTTCCTTTCCCCGTCAAATAACAGTTTGAATTAGGGTGGAGGATTCCAATATTTGTAGAATTTATTTATGGAATTTACTTACGTACAAAGCATTGGGCAATTTTGTTTCAATAAAACCTTATTTCTTTGAGTTACGATGTCCCAAGAAAGAAAACATTCAAATGAAATTGAACAAAATTTTTTTTGACAGTTGTATTTGTGTGACTGTGGATCTTTTTAGCTTGTTGACATTTCTTAAAGGTTTTGAACCTGGTGAAGAAAGTTTTTTCTTAGCCACTTGACCTCCATAGTATTTTTTGGGGCATGTTTTTTATTTAAAACTAACATTACTTCTCAGCCTTTTGGCCAACATCAGGTGTAAAGCTAACCGCTCCTTTTTTCTTTTGAGTTTTCAAACATTTCATTTTCTCCTGAAGGGAAAAATTAGGTTCTTAAGGAGTGTGGGTGCTATTGGCCAACTAACATGAGTTCAAATCCTGTTTTCTGAGTTGGGACCTTGGCCAAGTTGTTGAAACTTACATGCTACTTGCCTCAACTGTAAAATGGTGATAATACCTAGCTTATAGATTTGTTGTGAACATTAAATGGCCTTCTTTGTTATAAAGTGTTTACTTAGCCGTTGTGCTATACTACCCTTGAACACTTGTAATTGGGATGGACAATTCTTAAGTTTTTATTTTATAAACAATTGTGGAAAACAGTCTCAAATACAAGCAAGGATAGCCTTGGAAGTTTTGAAATTAAGGCAGTGAGAATGAAGAGGTACCTGTGGATTGGAGGAGAGACATTTCAGAAGTAGACATGGCAGTGATGAATAGTTGGGTGGGATGTGGAAAGTTCAAGAGTGGAGACATCTAGCTTCCCAACTGGAAGCTTGCCCCTTGCTGGATGATGGAAGGAGTCACATGAGGTAAGGGCCCAAGGAAGGAGTTTGACAGTGGCAATAGTGGCAGAGGAGATTGAATGATGATTCAGTGTTGAATGTGTTGGCTTTGAGGGCTTCTTAGTTATTTCAGTGGAAATATACTTTAGATTTTTGGTGCATGTTTGAGACACAGGAGAGATGGTGGTGGAGATCTAGATTCTGTAATCATCAGCAAGCAGATTATAATTGAAGCCAGTGGAGCTGAGAAAGGTGTCCAGAGAGGATGTGCAGATTGACGTTGAGAGAAACCAAGGACAAAATTGCCGTAGAGAATTAGTATTTGCTTATCAGGAATGAAAAGTACTGTCTTCCCTGTTATTGAAAATTGTTAAATAATACTTCTATGGAAATGAAGGTTGTGCTTCTAAGTTTCCTTTCTGGAGATAAACTGAGGCCGACAGCCTGGCCTGGACACTCATTGAATAAACTTGGGCAAATTACTTGACTCTACTTCTGCCTCATTTTCCCTTAAAATGGGGATAATTGTAGGATCTTCTAGGGTTGCTGTGAAGGTGAAAGAAATCAGTATCTCTAAAATGCTTGGAACAGTGTCTTGTGTGTAGTAAGTGCTTCCTAAGCATCAACTATTTCTTTTTTACAATATTTATAAAATGAAGTATAGGATCTTTTCTTAAAAGTGGTGATCCATTTGGCGATATGTATTATATATGCATATATGAAATTTGTCTCTCTGTGAAAAACCTACTGCCATGTGAAACTTTTTTTTTTTTTTAAAGATTCATGATGGTCCAGAAATCTATTCTTCAATAAAATATGCTGATCTCTTTCTGGCTCAGTCATTTTTTTAGCCCCTTGCATGTAGTGCTGTTATTTTTTGAGGCTGTGATTTGGTGATTTCTCTGAAAGTTCTTTCTTTATGTATCCCTGATTAACCTCAGCTTGTCTTTGAAAAGCATCATGCATTTTGCCCGTACCAAGTAATTGTCTTTTTACTTGTGTACTCTTTCTGCTTTCTGAGGACATGGCTTATGCATTTATGGAATATTAACTATTTACAGATTAATGGTCTAGGATTTTTTTTTATTTTTTTCTATAAATTCATATTTAAAAGAGAATGAACATTAGTGCACATCTAAAGCATTTTTTTTACCAGATTTTTCTTAAATTAGAGAGGCACAATAATGTAGTAAAGAATATTGATTTGTGGCCGAATTGTACAGGTTCAGTTCTGCATAAACCACATTATAGCTGGGTAATTCTGAATTTGATCACATCTCTTCCCACATAAAATTAATGTAAGGAGGCTAGGTGTGGTGGTGTACACCTTTAATCCTAACATTTGGGAGGCAGAGGCAGTTATATCCCTCTGAGTTCCAGGCTAGCCTGGTCTAATTTGAGTTCTAGGCCAGCCAGGGCTACATTGTGAGACCCTGTTTCAGATAGATAAACAAAATTAATGTAAGGATTAAATGACTAAATACTTGTGAAATACTTAAAACTGTACCTGGAACATAAGCATTAAAAAATTCTTAGCTACTTCTTTTATTATTCCTATATTTTTGATAATATTAATAGTACTGTTTTCCAGATAAGGAATTAAGGCTTAAAAAAAGTGATACTATTTGCCTAAATTGGGTTTTAAACCCTTGTCTTCTGATATATATATATAATATATATATATATTATATATATATAATATATATATATTTAAACAGTACTTGGGAGGCAGAGGGAGGTGGATCTTTGTGAGTTTGAGGCCAGCCTGGTCTACATAGTGAGTTCCAGGACAGCTGGGGCTACAGGGAAACCCTGTCTCAAAAAGACCAAAAAAAAAAAAATTTGTATTTTTTATTTTATGTGTATGTGTGAAATGCCTGCATGTAGGTAAGTTTAGCACCCGTGTCGTGCAGTGCCCGTGGAGGTCAGAGGAGGCTGTTGAATCCCCTGGGACTGGAGTTATGGACAGTTGTTAGCTGCCATGTATGTGGGTGCTAGAATTCGAACCCGGGTCTTCTGCAAAAACAACTAGTGTTCTTAACCGCTGAACCATTTCTCCAGCCCCCAAATATATATATATTTAATACAGGAAAAAATATATATTTGATACAGGATTTTACTATGCAGTCCTAGATGACCTGGAGCTCACCATGTAGACCACACTGGCCTCACAATGATCTGCTTGCCTCTGCCTCCTGAGTGCTGGGACTAAAGGCATGGACTACCATGTCTGACTATTATACTTTTTATTTGACTGTATTTTTTTTCTTTCTGCAACATAATTTTCATAGTAGTTCTAGGTCTTCTAACAGTGCCACTGTTAGCATCCAGAAAGTTATGCTTGTAATTATTTTATCTTTTCTTTATCGATTGCCTATAACTTTGTTAAGAAGCAGAATTTAAAGGAAACATTTTTTTCTAAGATATTTATTTTGAGGAAAATCTTATATCAGTAAGTGTTCCTGGGTATAGGCTTATATGGTAGTTCAGTTGTTTTAGTCTTGTATCTGTTAGTAATACTGACTTTCTAGACCCAATCTTTCAATCTGTGGAATATATTTTGTTTAACTTGTAGTTCCATATATCATCGACTGCTCCAGTGCGGCCTTTTCTTCTCTTTGGACTCATAGACTTCCTTGATCTTTTGTTGGGCTTGTCTTACTAATTGTTCTAAGTTTTTGCTGTGCTAGGAATTGAACCCAGGGGTTCACTTACATTAGGTAAGTGTTATACCATTGGAGCTACATCCCAGCTGTCATCTCACTAATTTTTTTTTAAATTTTATTTATTTGATGCGCATGAGTGTTTTGCCTGCGTGTGTGTAGGTGCACTACCTGCATGCAGTGTCCATGGAGGCCAGAAGAGGGTGTTGGATTTCCCTGGAACTAGAGTTGCAGATAGTTGTTGGCCTCCATGTGGATGCTGAGAACTGAATCCGGGTCCTCTCAGAGAGGAGCCAGTGCTCGTAACCCCTGAGCCATCTCTCCAGCCCCATCTCACTAATTTTTATTTTTTAATTTTTTGGTCTTTTTGAGATAGGTTCCCTGTAGCCCCAGTTCCCAGCTGGCCTGGAACTCCCTATGTAGACCATGCTGGCCTTGAACTCACAGAGATCTGCCTGCTTCTGCTGGGATTAAAGACATGGGGTACCATGCCTGGCTCACTAAGTTTTATTGCTCAGTGTCCAGCTTGCTTCTACCTTCTGACCCGGACTGTAAGTAGGAGGGAAACTAGAACAGTTGAGAGTTGACCTTATAATTTCAGATGAAGTTTACTCCAGATCTTCCTCCCCTTCTCTCTGAGATAGGCTCTCCCTATGTAGACAGGCAGGCCTTGAACTATCTTCCTGTCTTAGCTTCTCTTGTGCTGAGATTATAGGCACCTGTTTATTTCTCTTACCACGTGTTTCCCTGCCTTCCCTTTTACTGAAAAATTTTTGAGTTAAAATGAGTCCTTTATTTGAGCCAAAGTATACTGCTGTCTTGAT